CTCTTCTTATGCCCGTTTGCTAATGAAGTCTGGCAAATCTCAGAAGCAGAGAATTTCGACTCGTCTATGATCTCTGAAGTCTCTGGTGGACTTGCCAGAGTTAATTAAGACTCTCTTCTCCCTGCCTCCGTTTGGTTTCGATAAAGGAGTGGTTGCCCCTTGGATCTGCTGGGCTCTATGGATAACCCGAAATCAGAAAGTTTTCAACAGTAGAAGCTTTACGGTTGCGGATACTATCCTTTGAGACTTTCAGGATGCCAGAGAATGGATGTCGGCTCAATCGAGTACCCCTAAGAGACTTGATCCGGCGAAATCGATTCAATCCCAAAATCTTATTCCTAATAAGGAAGGATTTACCATTCGCTTCACCGATGCGGCGTGGATGGCCAATTCGGGCATGGCTGGCTTTAGTTGGACTTTCGAGTCAACCCTTGCTCCCATGATGGAAGGCTCTGCTTCGTGCCTTAACGTTCCTTCGGCCTTAGTCGCCGAAGCTATGGCATTGAGAACAGCAATAATTCAAGCTTCGTCTCTGAAATTGAAGAACGTGATCTTCCATTCCGATTCACAAGTGCTGATTCGTGCAATCAATCTCGAATCTTCGATCACCGAAATTTATGGAATTTTATCAGACATTCGTCTGTGTTCTGAAACGTTTAATTCTGTCTTGTTAGTTCATCTATCTCGATCTGCTAATGTTAGAGCATATAATTTGGTTAAGATGAGCCTTAGGGTTGTAATGGGCTAAGTTTATTAATAGAATGAGTTGAACAAAAAAGATACAAACCCGCGGGTATTCACCTAATTATAATTAATAATCTAACAATATGTGTGATAATAGTAACCACAAAATCAAGGTCAACCAATTACTTGTTAAGATATAATTTTTTTTAATCGTTATTGTTGCCAATTTATTTTAAATGAAAATAAATAACCTCACATTTATCTTTTAACAAAAAGAAAAAATTCTACAATGTGATTTACGATATATGTTTCTAAAAAGATTTGCTAAGAATCTGCAATTAATTATCTAAAAATGACAATTTTAAAAAGAAAAATAAACTCTCGCATCTATACCTAGGTAGGAGGCTACAAGATAGTATACAACAGCATGGGATCTAAAATAGTTGTAGATTCATCAATGTTATCATTATCATCCGCAACATCTTGCTTGCATTACAAGAGATCTAAATCATTGGAGATTCATCGATATAACATCTTGGGCTATTTTTTTCAAAAAAAAAAACATCTTGGGCTATTATAGAG